ATTCCCCGTCTCTCCCGGACACCCACCCCACGATACCCAGGACGGGGATCTCAGCCCAGGCCGTTGTGACTTCCCAAGGGAACCCAGCCAGGAGCCGGGCCGTGGTCATCTCCTTGGAGCGAGCCGATGGGTGGTAACGTGCGAAGCCGCAGCCGGCTGAGCGCATGCAAGCCCGTGGCCGCAACCCAGCCTGACCGTCAGGAACCACGGCCCCAGTGCAGGCAACACGCGGCAAAAACCCCGGCCCTGCCGGCTGTGGGGTCCGGCACACACCGAGGACCCGTTCTGCGGTACCCAAAACCTGGGGGTAATCGGGGAGAGGGATCCTCCTGGCGCCCTGCTTGGAGAAGGGATGCTCTTTGCATCCCATCCCATCTAGAAAACATATTTTTCTAATTTTCGTGCCGAGCTTGGTTGTATTCAAGCATTTTGGGACAAGGCAGCCAACGCTGCAGCCCGTAAAGCGACAGTCTCCGAAGCATCCAGCGCATTCAGCAATCGTGTGTGATTAATAAAGCCCTATCGCATTCTTCCACCCTTGGCCTGGTGCTAACTCGTACGAAATCTGGACCAAAAACTGCAACAAAATGGCTGCTATTCTCCAAGGGCCGTTCGGAGCACTCGTTACTCATCCCTTACTTGGGCAAAAATGACATTGACTGCTCCTGGAGATGACAGGCTTAATTGAGTTCAATAGGAGTTTAGGCTGAGTAAGGCATGAGCAAACAAGCGTGCATTAGCCCATGAATAAAAGCCTGATCTGCAAATGTTTAGGAACATATGTAACGCCGCGCAGGGGAGTACCAAGGGAGTCACCGCTGTGCCGGGCCTGCCGGGAGGGCAGGGGTTGGGCTTCGGCTCCGTTACAGCATCCGACCCAACCGCTGGCCATGCCGGGACGAGGTTGTTCCGGAGAGCGGCGACTCCAGCCCGGTGGTTTGTTTCAGTCCTGCCTCTTAATTTATCTTTTTTTTTCCTCCTCCTTCAGAAGTCCATAATCCTCGTTTCTGCTATTCTTCATCCACTGGTGGGAACGGCAACTTCCTTTCCCAAATTATAATATAAAAGAGCTGCAAGCAGCAACGCCATAAATAATATTTTCTTATGGCCAGAACATCCAAGTCTAGGCAAGACACCAAGAACAGCTACAACGTTGTAAAACTCCAACACTTCTCCAGAATGGATTCCCTAATTAAAAAATGATTCCTTTTCAAAAGCAATTGAAAAATATTGGCTTTCCCACTACTGCCTGTCGCTTGCTGTGCCGAGAAAGAGCCCATCCTGCAAAACCCACAGCCCATCTTACCGGCCACAAGCCTTTCCCTCTAAAAAAATGTCACCAAAAGAAATACACGGGGAGGGGAAGAGGAGAGAAAAACACGCCGTCACGATCACTTCTTTAATTAATTAATGTATCACCACTTCAAAGCACGGAGCGAAAGCCCCCGAGGCTGAGGCGATGCTCTCTGCTGGGCAGGGCACTCGCTGGGAACCAAACAGCTCCGGCCCTTCCATCGCCGGGCGAGGAGCTGCCCCGCGTTGGCCGTCCCTGCCGGGCGGCAGCCAGCCCTCTCCCCCCGCAGGCTGCCCGGCTGACGGGGCATTCGCCTTTCGGAGCCCCATGGAAATACCCCGCGAGCCCCTCTGAGAGGGCAGGGGCTGTGCCTGAGCTCAGGGCTGGGGGCACGGAGCCCCCCCGAGCCCTGCAGGGTCTGGGGCAGAGGGAGAAGTGAGGGGTTGGAGAAGAGCCCCCCGCTTCCATCCTCCTGCTCAGCTGTGGAGCAGCATCTTCCCACTCATCGGCGTGGGATGGGGCTGCTGGCAACCACTGCCTCCAGGAGCCGCCGGCACCGCAGTGACACTGGTCCTAGCTGGGGTGCAGCACTTGCCATCGAGGTAGGACCTGATTATTTTTTTTCCCTCCTCTTTGCCTTATACCCATCTTTGCAAAAATAAAACACATTTCCCAGGAGGTTCCCCTGAGGAGCTGCCAACAGTCACCTCCGGCCGCTGGCCATGCTCGTGCCCCTGCATGGGCGCTTTGCGGGGTTAAAGCCGTCCCTGCACCACCAGCCCCCTAAAGTGAAGCTTCAGAAGCCTCGAAGTCTCCTGCTGCGGGGAAAACACCATCCCTGGGGACTGAGAAAAATCCTTTCTTCATGGAAGACACACACTTTGGGCTCAAACGCTGCTGATAAGGCTCCTTCTCTTCTTTTTTTTTTGATCTTTTCTCACAGCGAGCATTCCTTTCACACCCACGCACACCCCAGCATCCTCAGCCATTGGTCGGCCGGCGCATCCGTCACACTTTCCATCGGCCAAAGTAGATACACATTTCAACTGCTTCCACTCCTCGTCTCCTCTGGTGTTAACAGCCAGCGCAAACAAAGGGCCCGAATATCCATCGCCCTGTTTTCATTTGTTTCTTGTGCCGCAGTTGGTTTGGCTTAGAGGGTTTGTGTAAGTGATTTGGGGCGGGTGGCTGATGCGGTGACGGTGTCCTGGGACCGGGTGCCGTTGCGTTGGGTGCCCACGGTAGATTGTTTGCTCCGCTCGGGCTGCCGGCTGGGAATCCCGATGGGTTTGCAAGCAACGGCGGGCAGCACGGAGACGTTTTGGGTGAGGCGAGGGAGAAATTCCCTGGGGAGCAGCTGGGATAACGGCAGCTCGGGCTCCAGCGAGAGCTTGGGGAGCCCAAACTCTCTCACCTCGCTTTGGCTTTTCTGCTTCCACTGGAGGAAATGGGGACAAGCGTTAGCTCAACCGTTAGCTGAGCGTTTCTCGATTTCAAACAGATGTCGGGGCCGCGGCTGGATTTGGGCAGAACGCTCTTGCTTTCCCCACATTTGCTGGCCATACCTAGCCAGGGGATGCCGGCCCCAACCGCGGTGCCTCGTTCTCCCTTTAGCTCACAAGAAGGTCTCTGATCTCGCCGTGTGGGTAAGGGACGATGTCCCACGCCGGCCTGTTGTCCCCAAGCTGTCCGCCTCTGCCCCCACCACGAGCGTCTGGTGATGAATCACGGAGCCTGGATTCGTGCAGCTGGTGGGAAACCCTCGGCTCTGACTGCAAAGCCACTGGGCAGATGTTCGCCAGTGGCCTGGCTGCAGCGCGTGGTCCCACTGTCACCGTCATCTGTCCCCAGCCCCGCGCAGGGACGGGTCTGGGCTGCGGTGGCGGCGCGACGCTGCCCAGCGAGGACGAGCATCCCTCTTTCACAACTGCGTCTGTCTCCTCCATCTCCTGCTCCTCGGCCTTTCCACCCCGGCTACCTCTCGCAGCGTTAACTTGGGGGGCTCAGATCACCCCCAGAATGGGGGAAAGACCTGTCTGTGTCCCGGGAAGGGGACACCAAATTGTATCAGCCCCCTCTGGGGTCAGTGTGTGAGCTGAGCTGGTGAGAGAAGCATTAGCAGGGAGTCGAGGATGGTGTTTCGGGGCACCTTGGCATGTCCTGGTGTTTCTCACCACTGAATTAATCAGATTTAGGACTGTCAGTGCAGCCAAACCCTCACCCCATGAAGGTGGGTTAGTGCTGGAAATGGGGGCACGGGCTGCCCTGCTCCCCTCGACCTACCCCTCTCCAGCATCTCCCCTTCCCAATGACTCCCCGCAGCCCCCCCGTGACACCCCACGGGCCTGTGCCATGGGGTGGCACCTCCCATCCGCCACCTGCCCGCGAGCAGAGACCCCCAGTGGGGCCAGTCCCGGCAGCGGGGACAGCCGGGGCGTGCGGAGCGCTGTGGGACCACCGGCCCGGTGCGGTTCGGAGGGATGCCGCAGGGCACCGGGGCGGTGAGCGGCGTGGGCACGGGGGGCTCGGCCAGACCCATCCATGTGCTGAGTGTGACTCAGCGCCGCACCACACCTTGTGAGTCACCCCAGTGCTTCCTGGTGCACCCAGAGTTTTCCCTTCGAGGTCCCTCCTGGTGGCACCGACCCAGCCCGGCCCCGTGCCGG